TTTGTATCTTGTTTTCCTCTCTCTCTCTCTCTATGGAGTAGAACCCTTCTCTCACTTGAGGATGAAGAACCCTAGTTCTATGTGTTAGGGATTGATTGTAATGACTTGGGATGGTATTACTGTTTGATTTTAATCGAATGATGCATGTTTATTGAGTCAATTGAAGTCTGATCAACTTTTCCTGATTCCTGCTGCAATCTGAGATAGATAGAATCTGATTAGGTTGCTAGAGTCTCATCATTCGATAGTAGGAGATTGGCTATACGAGAGTTAGCCAGTTTACTGCTTTGTACTGGAATCCAATTCCAATAGTGGAGTTCTGTTCTTACTGCTTCAGCTTTAGTTGGCTAGATAACAGAGAATCACTGAGTAAGCAGTAGATCTAGACCCCGGGTTGATAATATAACTTGTCACTTTACTGCATTCCCGGTCTGCGATTATACTTGGTCGCAGATTGGTGTTGTGTTTTGGCGTGTCACCCAGCATTCAAGCCTCTTTCAAAAAAAGGAAGGGGGTTTTCTCACTACCTATGTTAGAATGATAATTAGATTGATAGGCTTTCACACAACACAATCATTCATGAATAATACCTCCACATTCACATTAAACACAACCACACAAAAATCATTCAATTCATACAATCATTCACATAATTGTAGCTAGGGTTTACAAAAACCCAAGTGAAAGAAGGGACTACTTCATGCTAGGAGAAGGGAAAACACAAGGGAGAAGAAGGAAAACCATCAAAAATATGCTAGTATTGCTCCTTGTGTTGAAGAGATTCTCCTTTGGGGGGAGGATTTCCCAAATCCTTGCTTGGAGATAAAATAGGGGTGGAAAACGGTGCGGCCTGGTCCAAACCAGACCATATATACGGTCTATGGTCCATATTGAGAGGCTGAAGTATAGACCACAGGCCAGACCATAGACTTTACTGTCCGGTCCAGACCACGCCTATGCGGTCTGGTATGTGTTAGAATAAGACTTGATTTTGTTTTGGATTTGTTTCTGTGTTTTAGGCCTATTCTGTTTGGGTTTGGGATTGGGTTTTGTTTTGACCTTTTCCTTGTATGTTTGGGAAAAGGTGTTTGGTTTTCTGTTGGGGATTAGGAGAAGAATTCTATAAATACTCTTCATCACCCTAGTCTGTAGAGGGGTCAGTCAGGTCAGTTTGTTTGGTTTGTCCATTTGGAATTTGGTTTGTAACCTGTACTCTCCTCAAATCAGTGAAATTTGTCCCCCTGCTCGTGGATTAGCTAGCACACATTGTGTTAGCGAACCACGTTAAATTTGTGTTCGTTCGTGTTGGTTTGGATTATCGATTGCACGCTTCTGTTCTGACAGTATGGTCCAGCTAGACCACACTCAGCGAAAAAATGAATAATTTGTTTAGTCAACCACACAAAAATTGAACCAATATCCAAGAAAAATAATTGTTATTTGCCTTAAAACATTAATCCTAACATGCATGAATAATTTTGATACCCTAAATCTTAGTACATAACAAAGATACAAAATAAAAGTATCCCAACATGCACCATAACGTCACAAACATTAATATAATGTGATATGGAGACACGAGTACCTCTACTTTCTGGTTAAATGTGGTTGTGAATGGAGGGACGAGATTCACAAAACTAAGGTTGAGACTTGGGTGTCATTGTGGGAGTTGGAAGAGTGTCGAATGGGCCATTAACACGTATTGAGAATTCGATTGGATCCACGGTTTGGTCCGGTAAACTGCGATCTGGACCAGACCAGACCAAGAGATTAAAACTTAAAATAATATAGACCATGGACCAGACCAGACCATACTTAACGGTCTACGGTCCGCACCAAACTGTGTAGTATGGTTTGGACCACGGTTTCTAACGGTCTGGTCTATTTTCCCAGCCCTAAGATGACACCCTAGCTTGTTCATCACTTTCTCACTCTAAAAATTTGAAGAAGAAGAAGTTTCTCATAATAGGTCTGCCCCCTTCTTCTTCCTTTTAGCTAGCACTTTATACTGAGATCGTGCCCAGTTCACGGCTCAAGTTCATGGCCGTGAACATCAAAACGTGTCTGTGAACACAGTGTGATAGACCAAAATGCACCACTTCACTTCTTGGGTTCACGATTTGTGGTTGCAGTTCACGGTCTTAGAGACTGTGAACAGCCTTGGCTTCAGTAACCTCAGAAACCCCTCTCAACGCTTCTTGGTTCACGGGTTGTGGTTCCAGTTCATGGTCCTGGAGACCGTGAACTCCAATGTTGGACCGTGAACACTGGCTGATTTCTCCGCTTTGCCCGATCTTTGCTCCTTTTCTTCCAACTTTCGACTTCGGGGTTGGTTTCACCTGTTAGAATCTGAAACACACTGAAACACAAGAAACCTAGTATAAAACCACCCCTTTTGGAGCTCAATTGCCACAAACGTCAAAGAGAAACGGTGATAAAAAAATGTACAATTAGTCCTGAATCAGTGGCGGCCTTCTTACTCTCTCCTTGAGTGGATGCTCATTATCTACCATATCATAAGGATGGGTCTTTACAATTTCTTCTAGTACTCTTCCTTTGTTCTCCATCATCTCACTGGATGGGTTTTCCCAAAATCTTCTTGAAAATTAAGTTGCTCCAATGAGTTGTATCTCCAAAGTTTGCTTTGAATCCCATGAGTAGGTTTGAGGAAAAAGAAGAGGGGTTGCCTCCCTTGTATAGAATAGCAGCGACCGAATGATGGGAGACAAGCTATCTGCACTCCTTTGTCACGTAAGAAAAGGAAAAATCACGGTGGAGGGGGTGTTTGTTAGTGGCGGCTTTGTGATGGTGTCAGCCACCGTTGCCACTGTTCTTTCATGTTGCATATTCATTTTTTCTCCTTGGAGGTAATGTTCACCTAGAGGATTTGTAGCAGGAAAATTGCAACGGTACCGACCACTATGGAGCCATTGTGGCTTCCTCCTTCTCATTTTCATATTCGTTCACCTGTTCCTTGCAGGATACATCAAACTGAAGAGTTATGGACACCATTGGGTTGACATGCTCCATTTCTTCATCTTTCCTTTTAGTTCTCCATGGATTTCAAAATAAAACAAAACCTTAAAAGCAACAAAACGAAGAGATTCATTTTATGGTAAATAGTATTTTATGTAATTTGAGATCAAGTTTCCTCCTCCTCAACAATAATAAAATAAAATCATACATCGATTTACATCACAACTATCCCCATATAAGCAAGTCTCAACAAAAAATTTAATTTTTAGATAAACTTCACTCTTTATTCAAGAGTAGTGGGTACTTACTTAATAGTTTGTTGTTGCTAAGAGGATGCGTCAAAAGAGATGCTTATGATGCAGATGATGATGGCTTAGAAATCCGGGTTGTCTCCTATAGCACTTTTCTTTTACATTCTAAAGTTGGATTCCATGCATGTTTTCCCTCCCATGAAGCGCTCTTTCGTTTACGCCATTGAGCTAGACATAACTCCAAAGCTCATCAAGATCCCCAAGTAAGGGCTTCTTTAAAGTCTATCATCAGAAGTGCAAACTTTAGTTGATTTTCATTCTTCTTTCTGCTTTGGTTTGATGATAGGCCATGAAGAAGATTCAACCTTAGTTTCCTCCTTGCACCTTTCACCCGACACTTTTATTTTGCATTGTGATTGCTATAGAGGTAATGATTCAAGGAAGGACTTTTATATTTCCCTTTCTTTGGTGGATAAGAAGCTACAGTCTCATAGCTCTCTAGAAATGTTGCGAAGGGATCCACTTCAAGGATTCAAGAGAAGTATAAACATGATGTATCTCCACCAAGATTTGGAAATTTTCTTCATGGTTTCCAACTTCGGTAAGGTCATCCTCATTTTCTCCACCGAGAGCTTCCTTGGACCTGATGAATTCCTCAATCACCACCTTTACATCCTCTTAGTCAAAGTTAGAGTCTCCAAATGTCTTCATTACACTATGAAAGGGAATGTAGGGGGTTATGAAGGGATCCTTCAATTCAAATGCTTCGGTCTTCTATGAGTTGACATATAGAATCTTTGTTTAGAATGTTGAGATTGCTACTCCTGGATCTTCTCACATCATTGTAGATGTAAAGGATGATGAAGAGGATCCTTCTTACTCAAGATCCAAGGTGAAATCTTCATCAATTTTCTTCTCCTAACTTGAGTTTAAATCAAGATGAGTGTCACTTGAAGTCTCCTCCATCTGGCTAGATGCTCTTTTCTTTGATCTTAGTAAGGGTAGACTCGATGCTCCTCCTTTGTTGTTGATATCTTTCTTGAGTGCTTAGATGATGGTGGTATTGTTCTCCATTCCTTGGTCGGACGCCATTTTGGTCTAACCTTTAACATCCATAAAAACCTTGGAAGGTATTTTGAAATACCTTTGAAAATTTTGGGCAGCCCTCACTAATCTTAAACACAGATGTAGAGGTGGCAATTTCAATCCAATCCACCAATCCAATCCATTAATCCATTAAAAATATCCACCTAATCCAATCCATTTTATCCAAATCCAATTGGATTGGTGGATTCATGGATTGGATCCATGGATCATTGGCAAATTACGGTTTAATACCTACAATTTTTATTTTTTACATTTTGGTACCTAAAATTTAATTTTTTATACGAAAAATATCATTGAAAAATTACGTTTTGGTACCTAAAATTTTTTATTATGACATTTTAGTACCTAAACTTTTTACATTTTACATATTGGTCCTTGGTTGAGGATGTCATTTGGATTCATGGATAATCCACCAATCCACTTGATCCAATCCATGAATCCACCAATCCATTAGATCCAATCCATTTTATCTATGGATCCACCAATCCAATCCATTTGCCACCTCTACTGACAGATGTAAGAATCCACCAAAGCCATCACAATCAGAACCACCATAAATTTTCTGTTTTAAAAACCTTACACACAAAAACAGATTCCCAGATTCAAGCACCAGAAACAAAAATATTACAGATTTACATACATCTTGGAAACACTAATTTGACAACTTAATCAATCCCAAGTTTATTCCTATCTCATCCAACCCTGCAAGCATAAGAATCAATCATTGACAAATGACACAGAGCTTCTAATAATCTCAAGCACACATGAACCACATTTCTTTATCCCAAAAATCCGAATTTGCAGACCCAGTTTACTAAAAAATATAATGGGGTAAATTGCAAGATTGGTCACTGAGATTATAAAAAACGTTCATGTTTGGTCACTACAAATATTTAATTTCATTCGTGGTCACTAAGATTAGTTCAATAGTTCAAGTTTGGTCACTCTCCGTTAATTTCCGTTAACTTTTGCTGATGTGGCAGTCAACCTTTATAGTTGACCGTTAAATGAATGACGTGGCTATTAAAAAATAATAAAAAAATTAAATTTTCTATAATAATTTCCACCTCATTACACATTCATTAAAAAATAAATAAAAAACCTAATTTATACTAATTGGCCCCCTTTCCCTTCTTCCCCTTTCTAACTGGTTGCTGTCGTTGTGGAGTTCGGCGAGGAGGTCCCTGAAGGGAGCGGGAATGAATTTGCGGATGGAGTTGCAGAGCGCCGCAATGTCCTTCTGGGAGCGGGATTTCGCCGTGACGGCGCTCTAGATTACGGACTGGATCGAGAGCCTGGTGAGGGATTTCCCGTGGGAGTAGAACCGGTCTTTTTTTTCCTGCCCCAGGGAGACGGAGCGGGAGATGTTGGAGCCGGTCTGGTCGGTGTGGAGCTGTACGGTCTTCCAGCCGGCGACGGTGGAGCGGCGGCGCGTGGGGTCGGAGGCGGGGGAGGCGGAGATGGAGGAGATGAACTCGCGGATGATTTTCTTCTGGGGCTTCTGCCAGGTGCCGTACCAGATGATGTGGACGGTGATGTTGTTGGTGAGTACCGGGCCCATGTGGTAGCGGAGGTGGACGAAGTCCGACGAGCCTTCGAATTTCTTGGAGCTGGCGAGGGCGAGGTTGGTGGCGTTTGGGTGGGTGCTGGGCCAGGGGCGGTAGGCGGTGGAGAGGGACAGGATGGCGAGGAGGGTCGCCGGAATGAGAGGGGCAGCCGGGGCCATTGCGGTGGTTCTGTGGAAGAGGGATTAGGGCCGGTGGTGGAGGAAGAGACTGGAGAGTGTTGAATAAAGTGAGGTAATGATTTGGGGGTGGTGAAGGAGAAAGGAGCATTGATTTGCGGGTAATGGAGGACAGAAGGATTTGCTGGGTGGCCTCGGGACTATTGAATAAATTAGGTTTTTTAATTTATTTTTTAATGAATGTGTAATGAGGTGGAAATTTTTATAGAATAAATTTAATTTTTTTATTATTTTTTAATAGCCACATCACTCATTTAACGGTCAACTATGAAGGTTGACTGCCACATCAGCAAAAGTTAACGGAGACTAACGGAGAGTGACCAAACTTGAACTATTGAACTAATCTTAGTGACCACGAATGAAATTAAATATTTGTAGTGACCAAACATGAACGTTTTTTATAATCCCAGTGACCAACCTTGCAATTTACCCAAATATAATGATTAACTAATTTAGGCCATATTAGCATCATGCAATGTCATACATGCTCAAACTCGATCTATGTACAAGATGAAACCCATTTTTAGGTTTAAACTCCATAACCTTACTCAATCGAGTTCAAAAGGGTATACCAATATCTGCCATTCTCCAAAACCTGAGAATCTCTCGAATAAGGAAAGAAACTGAAAGCATTAAAATACTGAGCTCACCACATTTTGTCTCCGGGAACACTGCTATCGCCGCCGCTGCCGCTACGTTGGTTGCCAGTTAAGCCCGCCGTTTGTGTCTCCTCCTAGGCGTCCTCTCTTCTCCCCTTGATCGAATCCCAGAAATAAAAGCAAAAAGGACTCAATTAGAAACAATCAAAATGTAGAAATCATAAAAGAAAGCTTGCATGTCGAGAAACTTACCTAGATCGAGGATTTCCCAATCCATTTAGGGAGGTCAAGGTTGTTTTCTTGCCGGCAGCAAAAGGGGAGAGCAGATCGGAGTAGGTTTCTTTGTCTCAAGGTCGATCTTATGGCGAAGAGAGGCTAGATAGATGTGAGAGAAGGAAAGATAGATCGGGAAAGGGAGAGAGAGCGAGTATAGAAAGATCGAAGAGGAGAGGCGGATCAAGGGGATCCATCGCCATTTTTCCATTTCTTTCTTCTTGGAGAATACACGACAGAGAGAGAGAGAGAGAGAGAGAGAGAGAGAGAGAGAGATGAGAGCTAAGGTAGAGAGGTGACAGCTGAACTAGGGTTTCTAGCTCTCGGCCCTTTTTTATATATACCCGGCTTCTAAAATAGCTGCAGCCAAAAATCGAACCACAGTGAGCTTCGAACCAACTCACTCAGCTCTCAAATGGTGTCAGTTAAGTTACTCAGCTCTCAAATGTGAAGTCACTTATATAATTATTTAACTTAAAAACTTAATATGCAGATCATGGCCAATAGTCCGTTCCAGTCTCATTGGGATTCTTTCAAACCCAATAATCATCTAACACACCACTAAATTATCAAAATACAGTCACTGTTAAATTTTAAACCTTAAACACGATCAATAGAACGTGTTAGGTTTTCCCTTTCAAACTCACTCAAAACATCAAACTACGTGGACTTTGTTCCCGACTACTCGGGTACGTAGGCAACCAATAGGTTCGAGTCCAACTAATCTAAAACTCTTCTTTAATTTGAGAATTACGTCAATAGGCGTATGATCAAATTGTATATTAGTAACAACTACCTAATTAACCGCACTATATAATTAAATATATAAATAAGGCACAAATTACGATACACCCAACCTTAATAAACTTATTGATTTAAGTATTACCAATTTTGGACGTTGTGGGGTGTGTATACACTTCCCCTCACGTAACCGCACTCCTGAACCCAAAATCCTAAAATTCGCAGACCAAATCCCGGTTTAGACCATTAGGTCGAGATTGGGACCAAAAGGTGTTCGATCCACCACAAGTAAGGTCGATGGTGACTCCGAGCGTGACGCGACGGGTCCCTCAATTTCAGAGGGGCGGTTGCGACATTTCCGACGAAGATATTGTCCGCTTTGGGCCTTGACCCTCATGGTTTTCGACTTGGGGTGCAATTCAAGGTGACTTCACATAAGGTCACCCATCCTTGTTGTACTACACACTGAGCATGTTTAACTTCAGAGTTCTCACAAGAACTCCTCCATTTCACCCCAAAACGCGTTTTGTCAGTTAAAATTGGTTTCTCACTTATGAACTATGGATCTCTCCCGTGCTTTGTCGATGTGGGATTTGCCTAAGGTGTTACATACACCCCCCTTGGGACTCAACGCCCTCATTGAGGTTTTCCCCACCATCGTTCAAGTGGGACGCAGAGAGGCTTTGATACCACTTATAACATCCCGAACTTTCTCGACGAAGATAGTGTCCGCTTTGGGCCTCGACCCTTGACTTGGGGTGCAATTCAAGGTGACTTCACATAAGGTCACTTATCATTGTTTACCTTCACACTGAGCACGTTTAACTTAGGAGTTCTCACAAGAACTCCTCCATTTCACCCCAAAACGAGTCTTGTTAGTTAAGGCTGTTTTCTTACTTATGAACCATGGATCTCTCCCGTGCTTTTTCGATGTGGGATTTGCCTAAGATGTTACAGGATATTCAGCAACACCCTTTCCCTAGATAGTATGACTGCAATATAATCACGGAGGAGGATCTTAGGCTCCTCAATAAACCTTTTTTAGAGTTGTAAATCTGGGAAAGCATTGGTAATTGCGATGGTGGGAAAGCCCCGGGCCCGGACATTTTCACTTGGGAGTTCTATAAAAAGTCCTAGAACTAGATTAAGCCGGAAATCATTCTTGCGTTCGGTGACTTTTTTAATTCGGGCTATTTACTTAATTGTGCTTCTCACTCTTTCATATGTTTAGTCCCCAAGAAAGATACTGTGGAAGACATCAAGGATCTTCGCCCTATCCGTTTAATGGGCAGCTTTAATAAGCTTGTTAGCAAGGTCCTCTCTCGAAGACTTTGATATCTTCTCCCGCACCTTTTTACCCAAAACCAACAGGCTTCAATTAATGGTAGGCAGTTTGGGGATGTTGGGTTAATTGCCTTTGAACTGGTGGATAGCTATAAGAAAAGCAGGAAGCCAGGTTTAATGTTTAAGCTGGATATAGAGAAGGCCTTTGATAATGTGAACTGGAATTGTTTGTTTCTTATATTGTCTTGTATGGGTTTTTCATAGCAATGGCAGAAGTGGATCAAGGGTACGATGTGCAGCCCAAGAATTTTTGTTCTTATAAATGGAGAGTCGAAAGGCTTCTTTGGCATAGAGAAGGGTCTGAGACAAGGTGATCCTTTGTCTCCTGGTCACTTCACTTTGATAATGGTTTTTCATAGCAATGGCAGAAGTCGATCAATGGTACGATATGCAGCCAAAGAATTTATGTTCTTATAAATGGAGAGTCGAAATGCTTCTTTGGCATAGAGAAGGGTCTGAGACAAGGTGATCCTTTATCTCCTGGTCTCTTCACTTTGATAATGGATGTCTTATCTCTTATGATCAATAAGATTAGAGGCAGTGGGAAGATTTCTAGGTTCTTTATGAATGAAGAGAGTGGTGGAGATAACTCATCTGCTCTTTGCTGATGACACCCTGATATTTTGTGATGTCGATTATGAGCAAGTCATTAGCATCCTCACCACCATGGTTTGTTTTCACGTTGTCAGTGGATTAAGAATTAACCTGGATAAGTCAGTAATGTTCACAGTTGAAGATGTTCCTAACCCTGATTTCTTTGCATTGGTTTTTGCTTGTAATTGGAGTGGTGATGTCTCGAAGAATTTGGGGTTTCCACTCGGCTCTAAACCCAACACTTCGTTGTGCGACTCAATTGTGGACAAATGCCAAAAGAGGCTGGAGGGTTGGAAGGGTAGATTTTTATCTTTGGGAGGCAGATTGACTCTCAACAAAGTTGTGCTTTCCAATCAAACGGTTTATTATTTTTCTCTCTTCCGTGCTCCCTCCAATATTATCAAAAGACTCAAAGGAATTCAAAGAAGATTCATATGGAGCGTACGTGGGAGAGTCAGAAGATACCTCTTGTGGGGTGGGATATTTGTAAAGCTCTGATTTCTCAAGGTGGTCTGGGATTATGGATCTCTATATTTTTAATATAGCAATGTTAGGAAAGTGGTTGTGGTGTTTTGCTACCGAGAAAGAGAGTTAATGGAGGGAGCTGATTGTGAACAAATATCCGAACCACCTCTCGTATTGGTGTACAGCGAGAAGCAGGCACGGGTTCTCGGGATCGGTGTGGGCGAACATCTCCAAAGGGTATGATAATTTTTGGCAGATGGCTAATATTGATCCTGGTAATGGCTTAGGTCTCTTTCTGGCATGATAGCTGGATCCCGGAAGTGGTGCTTGCTGATTCTTTCCCTAGAGTTGCTACCGTTTCAAGTTCTCAGAATGCCTCGGTCTCAAATGCCATGACCCTCTCAGGTGAGAATGTTGTGTGGCAAGTTCCTTTAAATTTCAATCTTAGAGGGGGGGCTGAGAGGGAAAGAATTACTTTGTTAAATTTGCTTAACACGATTGGTTCCAGTCGAGTGACTAGCTAGCCTTCTAGGATGGTTTGGTTGCCCAATCAAGAAAATTCCTTTTCTGTTCGTTCTATGTACAGGACTTTAGCTGATGAGAAGTTCAAGGGAGTTCCGGAGTTTGCTGCAGAGTCAGTTTGGCGGCAAATTCCTACTAAAGTCTGTTCCTTTATTTGGCTCATGGCTCACAAGCGCATTCTTGGATAACCTTAAGAAAAGAGGATGGCATCTTACGAACAGATGCGAGTTATGCGGCAGAGAGGAGGAGAGTATTGATCACATCCTGGCCAAGTGTGATTTCATTATGGAAATTTGGACTAGAATAAAGAGGGTTTGCGGGTCCATGGAGCCTCCTGCTGGGGATATTCTCAATGCCATTCCTAGGTGGCCTACTACTGCTGAAGATAGTGTGGAGAGCTGGGCCCTTTTTGGCTCTCTTCATGCTGTGAGTTGGCAAGTCTAGCTCGAAAGAAATATGAGGATCTTCAATGGCTCTAGGTTGCAGGCGAGAGTCGTCCCTAACATCGGCCAAAAACCTTATCTCTCCCCTCCAAACTATCTCCCATCGTGAACTACATTTAAGCACTCTTCCTTGGTCTACTCTTGCTATCACATTATGGTTTGGTAGTGAAGGAGTTCTAAAACAATGTGGGGGTTTCAATGGCTTGAGTGCCAAAAAAACCCCTCTTAGAACATACACTTTGGTTTCCCATGGCACTATCTACTTTATTTACCCCGTTTTATTACCTCTTTTTCTATTCTTTTTTTTCACTTTCTCTTTTATTTTTTTCTTTTTGAGGGGGGTACTAGAGAGTAAAACACTTGCCACCTATACATTTAACGACCAATGCTCTCCTTTCAATAACTCACTCCAACACTACACTTCCTTTTCCATTCCTAGCAAGAATCACACACAAACCTCCTATGTAGAACCTCTATGGAAACTCAAAAGTGAGAGCTCCAGGAAACAAGGACGACTCATGTTTAGACACGAAGAAAGGATTTGGGTTCATTCTATCAACACCATTAAGCTCACAAGCACGAAGCTCCTAACTTAAGAACGACCCTCGAAGTCACAAGGCTCAAAGGGGTTGACAAGTGGATAACACATTCGGGACAATCAACATTTGGGCGTGGACTAATTCTATGCCTCCACCATACTCACTAGTGACAACTGTGAGGTTACTCGCCATGGTAAGAGGGATATAAGCACACAAGAAGAAAGCGATCGGCTATCCTAATGGACCTATCAGAACTAAAATTTTGCACTATCCAAATGGACCTCTCAGTCATCATCATAGGATATACTCGATCACATGCAAAAAATCGAGATCAATGCCAATAAACACGAGATTTTCCCACAAATCAGCCACTTTGATCATGCAAATAATGCTTGGAGCCCTCAAATTTTTCAAATTTGGGCATACATCAAGGCTCCAAGCATAATAGTAAACTACCCCCCCCCCCCTCCCCCCCACACACACACTTAAGCTCGACATTGGCCTCAATGGCGTAAGATAGGGGTAGAATGATGTTACCGCTTGGGCTTGGTGAGTGAAAGTTGGAATTGTTTGTGGGGTAGGATATTTGGAGCTTCAAGGAGAGACAAAAACACACACACAAACACAATATGACTTGCTCGAGGCGAGGTTATAACAAACATAAC